GGTTCGGATCCCACATACAGACCGGTTCCCGCTCACTGGCTGAGCGAGGCGCGGGAGCGACGCCGAGGGTTGCAATCCCGTTGCCGGTCCCCGGTCCGGTACGGGGGCAACACTGAGGGTTGCGATCCGTTGCTGGACACGGAAAAAGACAAAAAAAGACAAAAAAAAACAAAGAAATTTGTTTGCAGTAACTGTAGTCATAATTATTAAGCCATAATTATCAATAAAATCAGGTTTTTCTTTCTCATATTGGCTGATGGTGGGAAGTTTGTAAGTGTTCTCAGCTTACACCCCACATATCAAACGCAAACAAACTAACAAAACAATTGCAAGCTGTTATTTTTGCCTTCATTTTTTTATCAGGTTGGTAGCATTAGTAAAATTCTGTATGAGCTTCAAGACATGTGTTGCAGTTTTTCTTCACCTTATGGCGTGTTTTTCTCCCTCCTTTTCCTCTAGAGGTATATTGCCATTGGAGAACTGGGGAAAGCTACTGACACACTAGATTCTACAGGGAAAGTAACAGAAGAAAAACCTTATGGTATGAAGTGCATCTACTGGAATCCTCCTTTTTAACATTTACAGAAAGTTTCTGTGAATGCAGAATTTTAAAATAAATCTCTTACGTGATATTACCAGTGATTTGAGTTCTCACTACATTTCTTTAGGTTAAGAGGATTAGAAATTGTTTATCATATTGTTGCCTATTTGGTATGAGTTTATGAATAAAGATTTATTATAGTTGCCTCTTTTCCTATAATGAATTTTTTTAATGTTCAGAATTATTTTTCCAAATAACTCCCTTGCCAAAAACATTTATAGCTAGGATTTAAGATATTTTTACTAGTAAATAAGAAACAAAGCAGAGGTATTCCCTTGATAAATTTTACCTGTGTGTTACCTTTTTTAAACAATTACTTGTCAGCTGTTGAAATAAATGTGCCAGATTTAGTACTTTAAAACTAGTGTTCCTGTGCTTTTGAAGTCTGTAAAAAGATATGATGGAAGGAAAGCTGTTTCTCTGGAAGCAAAGCAGAACTCACTGGGGCCCACATTAATTTTTCTACCTTTCCTTCTTTCACTACTTTAAGAAAGTCAAGATAAATGAAATGGTCTCCTAGCAACTCTCACAGTACTTGTGCTATTTATAATGCAGCACTTGCAGTTTTGTAATTCACTTTAACTGCATTATTATGTCACCAGTTGTGAATTATTTGTAGGCTTTCTGGCTTTTTCCCTGTGTTTAATGTTATCTGTTCCTAATTTAGCTGTGGGCAGTGCAGCATCTGGCCTCACTATGTTTTTGTGTTGACTGTCCTTATTATATATTACATATTGCTTCAGTAGTAAAACCAACCTTTCTTTAATTCGCAGTAACTTCATTTATGCTGTTAACATTTATATGTAGCTTAGTATCATGATCGATTAATCAAGCAACATAATGAAAAGAAAAATCACTGATTTATTTTAAGTCTTTTTAAAAATAGATCTGAGTTATCCTTGAAATTATTATTGCTATTAGCAAATAATAACAGACCCTCACTTAATTGGAACCCAAGTATAACCTTCAATCAGAAGGCTTTTAAGATTAAAGAGGCACAGGGCAATAGGAGGATATCCTGTAGGAGGTTTCTAGAGTGTGCTAAAGTATGCTGTCATTACGTACACAATTAAGTCTCCTGTATCTCTATCTCCATTTGCCAAAGTGTAGATAAAGAGAATGATTGACATTCAGAATGCGGTCCTAGGGTAATATAAATAAGCATGGAATGCAGCTTCGTGAAGTACAAAGAGCACTAGAGTAAGCAAACCTGGGTTTAATTTCTAGCTCTGCCCTTCTCTAGTTATATACATTTGGAAACTTCTTAATCTCTTTATGTTTCATTTTACCCATCTCCACAATGATCATAATGATTCCAACCTCGTAATGTTATTATGAGGATTGATTGGAAGAGAATGGATATTGGGGTCTCATAGACAAGTCATGAGGCTCTTACGGTAGTCCCAGCAGAGATGATGGTAGCTTACACTAGGGTAGTGTTGATAGAGAAGAGATAGAGAAGTTTTTAGATTAGAACAATAGTTAGAAAGTAAAGTTGGCCAAACTCGTTGATTGATTGGATGGGTATAGTGAGGAAGTTTGTCAGCCATGACTTAGGATTTTGTGTTTTAAAACTGGCTATATGATGGGGCAATTCATTGAGTTAGGGGATACTAGAAGAGGCCCAGGGTGACAGAAATACTTAAACATACCCCTTCTTCCTACTCTTAAGCATTCTAGAATTTTAAAAAACTCTACTCTGTTTTGGGCAATTTGTAACCTTGAATTTGTACCTTTAAGAAAGCTCAGGTTATTAAAATCATCTTACGTTAATGTTGCAATAAATCATAGAGAAACTGAGTACTTGCATTAGGCCCTGAATAGGAGAGCTTTCTACAGTTTATTGAATAGTATTTGTAGTCCTAGAAAATAAGAGCTCAGAGAATTTTGCAGATTGGCATGATTTTTCTGTGTGCTTTCAGTAAATCAGTAAATACTTATCTGTTTAAGCTGCTACAGCAGGTGTCAAGGGGAAGATATATAAGTGTAAGACTTAGTTTGTGTCCTTAAGGAACTTACTGTCTAATGGAGAACTCTGACCTGTGTTCTCAGCACTCTGAGACCTAATACTGAGATCTATGACCAATATTTTATAATGCCTTCTTTCTTATGCTGAAATAAGATTCAGAGATACTCTAATCCACCTATACATTTTTTAAATCAATATAATGCAGTAAATGGAATATATAGAAGAAAAAAAAGTAATTTATAATAAAATAGATATGTTATATGTAAATGCACAGGTATTAACTACACTGAAAGTTTTAATGAAGTAGTAAATGTTTACACTTATATATAAATCACTGTGAATGCCACAAGTACAAGCAGATTGATATAGGTGTGTTGTATTAATGACTCAGTACTGGAAAATTCAGTAAATGTAAGACTGGGCAAAAAATACGTGGTTAAATGTAAAATGGAGTTAAGTCCTAGCTTTGTGTAATTATAGACAGGCTTTTCACCCACGTGAATATCTGGCAGACATCCAGAAGTCAGGCACTACGCAGGACAATTCTTCATTGTGTCCCACTGTCCTGTGCATTGCAGGACATCTAGCATCCCCAGTCTCCACCCATTAAGGCTGCTGGTGTTGTCACCCCACTCAGTCATTATAACAACCAAACACACAGCTCTTAGTTGACCTGTCAAGAACAACCAACATTTGGATAAAGTCAGGCAGTATGCAGTCAGTGGCAAATGAATGTTCTTATGTCATTTTGTCTTACCTAGAAAACTATTTTTAGCTGTTGTTTGAGATAGCTGAAAGTTAGCACAAAGGAATATAAAAATGAGTCACTGGCTTAGTAGACGTAAAGTTGAAACTATATTAGCCAGGGCCCTTCCCCTTTTTCTCTTTTATAACACCCTCTGTTATTCCTAATTAGTGTTTTTTGCTGTTTACAAATATATATTTGCATGTTGATTGCTTAAGCGATGGGGCTGAAACCATGTCTCTTTCGATCCTCACTGTATTTTTGGTGTAATGTGTGGCATATAGAATAGAACTTGCTATTTGTATGAACAAATAAGGCTGGCAACAGATCCATTCGCAGAGAAAAAGGATTGCAGATAGGGCCCAGAAAGGCAAAGCATCTTCCTCCCTTCTGCTGCTCTTTTCTCATCTGCATCTAGTGTTCAGTCTCCGGTGCTGTTGCTAGTGTCTCTGAGGACACAAGGCTTCAGTGTGCTCATCTCTTTTCCACTGAGCTCAGGACACTAGGGCCCTGGCTTCCTGGGCTAATGTGGGCCAAGCTTCTGCAAAGGATTAACTGCTCCTGCAATGGCAGTAGTTTTTTCTGTCTCTCCTATGGGTTATTGTGAGGCAAGAAATGTAAAAGGAAAGTGATATTTTATGCTAATTCTCTGTTCTAAACACCACTTAAGATAGGATGTTACCAGGGTCTTCTCAAATGTATGTAGCTCAGGTATCTAATGGGAGTGGCTCTCTCGGAGTGTGTGTGGTTTAGTTACCCACACTTCAGAGGCTCATCCTGGAGGAAGGTGAAGAGTTGAATTGGGTCTCAAATTGTGATTTAAACAATTATATGTACACACTGTAGTAGGGCTAGTGTATAGCTGGGTATCAATCTTCTTAGGTGCCATTTGTTTGTATTTAAGCTTTTTTGTTGTAAAGTATTAAAGAAAAGTGAACAAAAATTAAATTTACAGCTCAATGAATCATCACAAAGCAGAAATCCGTGCAGCTACCACCCTAGTCAAGAAATAGAAGATTCCTAGAAATCACCTTTATGCCCTAGCCCAGTCACTAACCCATCCTTTTTTTCCAAACATAGCTATTCTAACTTCCAGTACATTGGTGATAGGTATAGTTTTGCCTGTTTTTGAGCTTTATATAAATGGAATTAAACAGTGTGTATCTTTTTGTGTCTAAATTCTTCCACCTACTATATTTGTTAGGTTCATCCATGTTGTTACACGTATGAGTAGTTTGGACTATTTTTATTGCTGTGTGGTATGACATTGTATGAATAGAACACTACACACACACACACACACACACACACACACTCTCTCTCTCTCTCTCTCTCTCTCTCTCTCTCTCCCCCCTGTTGATAGACATTTGGGTTGTTCCTAGTTTGGGGCTTTATGAGTAAAGCTGCTATGTGTATCTCGTACCTGTCTTTTGGTGGACACGTACTCATTTCTCTTGGGTATGTACCCAAGTGGAATTGCTGAGTCATAGGGTAGGTGTGTATTTAACTGTATTGAGAATTGTCAAATAGTTTTCCCAAGTGGTTGTATAACTTTGCATTTCTGCCATCAAAGTATAAGAGTTCTACTTGCTCCACATCCTTAGCAATACATGGTATTAACAGTGTTTTTAATTTTGGCTATTTTGGTATTTCATTGCGATTGTAATATGATTAGTAATGAGATTCAGCATTTTATCATGTGGGGTTTTTTTTTTTTTTTTTTGCTCATTCTTTTGTATATTGTCTGTTCAGGTCTCTTGCCCCCCCCCCCCCCTTTTTTTTTTCCCTTCTTTTCCTATTGCGTTATCTTTTTCTTATTGATTTGCATAAGTTCTTCATATACTCTGGGTATGAGCTCTTGGGTTGGTTATGTGTGTTGCAGATACCTTCTCCTACTTTGTGGCTTGCCTTTTTCTTCTCTTACTTGTGTCTTTTGAAAAACAGAAGTTCTTCGTTATAATTTAGTATGACTTATTGAGTCTTTTGCTTTGTGGTTAGTCCTTTTAGTATCCTGCTATTTTCTATTCCAAAAGCATGAGATGTTTTCCTGTCTTCTAGAAGCTTTTATTGTTTTGCCTTTCACATTATGTCTACAATCCACCATTTTTTTGCTACATGGATATCCAGCTTGCTCAGATTTTTCCCCACTCCCCTGCATTGCCTCCTTTGTCACAAATCAAGCACTATTCAGGCATGGGTTTGCTTGGAATCTATTTTTGTTGTTTT